TAATAATAGACACTCTTATTGATTTGGGCCATGTTAATCAACTTATTGTGAGAACTTAAAATAGGTTCAATAAATTATTGATTGTTAAGTAGTCTGATTGTTTTATAAATTAGAACTCGTCAATTAGCCCAAAGCTTTGGGATTGCACATATGCAAAGTTAAATATTGTAGAACTTGCTCAACGTTGTTCTGACTTACATTAAGCAGCTGAATTCAGCCATCAGAAGCATTCGTTGGAAGAACTAGTCATCTTCCCTATAATACTTATTGATTGACTAAAGGTTCTTGCTTGAAGAATTTGTAAGTATTTGCTTGTAGTTTATTTGTGGTACCAAAGCTTAGAGCTAACTTGAGGCTTAATTGCTCCACTTTATCGACGAGTATACTCGGTTCAACTTAATTTATATTTTATATAATTTTATTATATGGTAGACTATTTGCGGCCGATAAATAACGGGTCAAGGCATGATCAGGAGCAGCTTATGAAAAAATCCCATAAAAATTCATAGAAATCTCTCTCTCTCTATATGTGCATCTCTCAGAGAATCGTTTCTTTGTAATTAGAAATTGCTTGTATTTTTAGCTTTGATTCTATTTATATTTCTAGAATAATCATGAATACAACAATCTATTTAGTGAGATGAATAGTTCAACATGAAGGTCCATAACTAGTAATCCTACCCTCGATTAATGGAATATCCTCGAAGTATCAACGCATCTATTCCCTTAGCAGAATTCTTTCTAGCTTCAGCATCCTCCTTGAAAATCACCTTGCCTTAGCAACTATTCCCTTAGCAAAATTCTTTCTAGTTTCAGCTTTGAGATAATTATCAACAAAAAGCATGATAATTAAGGCATAAATGGAAAAAACTGGAAATAAAGTGCATATCTTGAATATAAAACATTGATGATGATGTGACTAAAATGTGTTGAGAATGTTCAGGGAATTCATCATTGTTTTCTTGCAATTAGATTTATTTAATCTTTTATTTTATTGTCTTTTTTGGATTATCCAAATAGATATAAGAATCACATACCTAATACACAGTAATATTAATTTATCATACTAATCAAGTTATATGAGAACCTAATTTAGGTTTATGAAGTAGCTTGAAGTTTATTCAATTTGGAACTTGTCAAATTTGAAATACCTAAAGCCATGAGCAGCCAAGTCTAGTTAGTTCTTACTTAATCCTATGTACCATGTTGATAAATTCAGTCTAAGATTTTTATAAAGTTGTCCACTCATTATGAGTATTCACTCCAAGAATTTTTCAACCCATCAGCCAAATAAATGTACTCTCTAGAAGAGCTGTCCATTGTGCTTGTCCACAATCTAAGTCATATTTTTTTCAGCTGTACGCCTTGTTTTGGACCTCAATTTCATAAGTCGAGCTCATCACAGGTTGTAAACCTCTATTTGAATTTGGGTGCTTTGCACCAAAAAGTTTTTTTTTGTACAAACCGTACTATGGCGATGTGTAGTTTGCTTGGAGACAGACAGAGAGCGGAGAGCTGTGACGCTCCAGATCCTGGCACTGTCGGGCAAACTGGAGATAAAGCATTGAGTGTCGAGACGCTACGAGGCGAGCTGGACAATTTTCTTTCTCATTTTTCATGAAGGGTTATATCTTTTGGTGGTTGTGTGTATGTTTCTTTTGTATGTTTGTAAGAGAATGGTGTAAGGGTGACGAGAGATAATGAGAGAATGATAGAGAAAAGCGATATGTACAAATTTATGCGAATTTTCTTCGTGAATTTCTTGATCATTTGGTATGGATTCGGTGGTTTTTTCTGGATTTCAAACTTTTTCAAGTTAAATCCCGATGTTCATTTTTTTCATTGCATTTTATCTTTTATTTTTGTGTTTGTTGCGCGATTTACTTTCCCAAGAGAGAGTGAGAGAAATAGAGATTATATAAGCAATATCTACAATATATAAGTAATTTGAAGGTCTTGATATGCTTCCACTGCACATTGTAATGATGCATTGGTTCTTAATTTTGAGTCAAATCAATTCGTGCATGAGCCAATTTATGTATCCCTTTCCCCCTTAATCGCAAGCTTCTTCGTTGGCATTGTCTCCGCCCTCATATTCATCCTCAAACACTTAGCCTTAGGAAAAGAGCTCAATCTTTCCTCTTATGAGTGAACGGACAGAGCAAACTGATATATTTGCCTTCTGTTTCTCTTTAACGATGACTCCATCATTAGGCCCGCATCAGCCATTTTGTGGCATTAACAATGAAAACATATTTTTTTCAAAAAGAATCTGCTCTGAACTTTCAAGTTCGGACGTGCAGTTCTAAAAGTTATGTTGCGGACGTGCAGTTATCAATTAAGGTTGAATATGAATTTCGGACGTGCACTTAACAATCGCCTTAATTAAGGCTTTCTTAGGTCAGTTTTCTTATTATTTTTTAGTATAATTTTTTAAAAAATAATATTTTTTTTAAAGCTGTCTCTTGCATCGTTTGGGGCAGTTTACTTATTATTTTTGATATATCATCAAAAAATTATCTTGATTGGGCACGGCTCTCGATGCAAATATGAATAAGAAACTTTAAATAAATTTGGGATCATCCTGATTTTAATTTTCGCAAGCTTATAGTTGAATTGAACAACTCAAGAAAATGAACCCGACGATACTGAAATCGGTTCAATCCGAACCCAAATGGGTCCAAATTGAGGGCCCGAAACCTATTTTGAAGCTACATAGCATTAATTGGATGACAAAATGATATCCAAATATGACATGCTTATAGTCGAATCGAGCGGCTCGACGAGACAAATCTAATGAGCCCAAGGTCGTGGAATTCTGACATCATTAAGATACTCAAAAGCTTGATAAATGGTCAAAGATCGAGGGAGTTAATATCAATCATCCATTGAAACACTCCTAATATGCCATCAATTTTCTCTCTATTTACTAGTCATGCTATTTCTAAAAATATAAATAAACCATCATTCTTCACAAAGGACTGCCCGGCAACCTACCGCCATTGGACATCCACCTGGTCGCTGACTACTGTCGGTCTTCCTTTCGACCACCATTGTCTGACAATGATCCTTCCGACCACACTCGGTTGACTATGATCTTTTCAATCTCCGTCACTCACCGACTATAATCCTTCTGACCACCGCCACCTGTCGATTATGGTTCCTTCCGACCATAATTGCATGTCTACAATCCTTCCGACTACAATTCTTCCGATCACAGTTGTCCACCAACTATGGCCCTTTTGACCAATGTCACCTGCTGAGTAGGTCCTTCCGACCAACGTTGCCCGCTAAGTACGGTCCTTCCAACCACCATCACCCCGCCACTACTGTCCTTGCAACTACTGTCCCCGCCGACTTCATTCCTTTTGAACACCATCGCCCGACAACTTAGTTCTTTTCAAATACCGTTGTCTGCCCACTACAATGCTATTGACAAAATAAATATACCGACATTCTCTTCAGAACTATTGCCATGTAATGCACTCTATGTAATGTGCATTTGCAACATCAAGTCAGTACCCTCCTCCAAGAAGCGATATTATTTGTAATCAACCAGCAACACTATTGGATTCATTGAAACTAGGGTATGCCCTATGATTTTTTCCTTTTTCAAGATTTTTCAACCAACAATATTTGTCTCTTATGAGTATTGAATCCTACTTTTTTTATCTGTTTGTGTGTTGGATTTTTATACAAATTAGGGCGCTAAATTTTATATATCACTTTCGCCACGAATAATTTAGGATGAAACAATTTTTTAATAAAAAAATTTCTTTAAATTACAAAAAAAAAAAGTCCCAAACTGACCCTGAAAGGAATTTTTATTAGATCCGGACACCTGACGTAGCTCTACATCCGGACGCCAATAAAATGTCGCCATGTGCTCTTACTCTTTATCGCGCGGCCCGACGACTCGACCCGGACTGGAACCCAATATTGCTATGTATTAGCTGATTTATACATATCAGAGTATTGCTAGGTTTTGCTCGGTATTGCTCGGTAATGAGAAATACTATTCTGTCAAGACCAATACCTAGAAATATCGAGCAATACCCTGATTTTGCTAGGTATTGCTCGGTATTGGTCTTGACAGAGCGGTATTTCTCGTTATTGCCAAACAATACCTAGCAATACACGAACATAGCAATACCGGGTTTCCATTATGTGTCGGGTCGTCGGGCCACGCGGTAAAGAGTAAGAGCACGTGGTATTTTACGTCCGGATGTAGGAACTTTTATTTGGTCTGGTCACAGCTAGCTCTACGTTCGACCACTAGTAGAATCGCGCCACGCGTTCTCACTACCCCGACAACCCGACCCTGAACGGACCCAGGATGGCTCGGTATTTCTCGATTTTGCTAGGTATTGCTCGGTATTGCTAGTTATTGGTCGATTTTGCTCAGCAATAACCAATACCGAGCAAATACCGAGCAATACCGAGTTTTTCTAGAAAAACTCGGTACACTCGGTATTGCTCGGTATTACTCGGTATTGGTCTTCACAGAGCGGTATTTCTCGTTATTGCCGAGCAATACCTAGCAATACCGAGCAATACAAAGCAAATACCGAGTAATACCTCGCAATATGAAAACATAGCATTCCCGGGTTCCGATCTGGGTCAAGTCGTCGGGCCGCGCGGTAAAGAGTAAGAGCACGTGGCGACTTGCTATTGGCAGCTAACTACGTCCGGTTAGAGGACATAATAATTATTATGGATGTAGAACTACATTAGATGTCCGGACTTAATAAAAATTCCCCTAAAGAAGCCTAATATTCGAACTAAATTTTCAGTATTTAAATAAATTTCAGAGTGCAGGAAAATTTTTTTTTTTTCTGCTTTATCTCTCTTCAAAATTGTGTTTCATTTTTTTTTTTGGTACATTTAGGCCATTTAAGGCAAACTCATACACACAACGCATACACATAGACTCAAACCTTGAACCTCTTATTGGAAGCCAAAGCTCTCAACCAATAGGCCAAGGAGAGTTGTGTAAAATTGTGTTTCATAGTTACGCCGATTGCCGCACATTGACTAACGGGAAGCGATTACGGAGCAGGTAGGAATAGAACGACGGAGCCTGATTTCAAACATCAAGAAGATTACTCAGATCCCTGTTCTTCATCAATCTTTCAATTCTCCTCTCCTCCTTACTTCTCCTCTTTACTTTGCTTTGTTAGCTTTTGGTTTTCCTCGCTTAATCTATGACGATGAGAGGCTCGCGGTACCCTCGAGCGGTTTCCCGACGGAAATCTTCGTCGTGTTCATTGGTATTGACGGTGTTCCTATCCCTTTCTATGGTCGTTCTTGTGCTTCTCTCCCTCGGCATTTTGTCCCTTCCTATCAAATCCAAAGATGCGCCCAAAGTGGAGCGTCGCTCCGATCGATCAGTTTACGAGACGTAAGGGGTTGGATCGAAGCTATGCAATTTAGTTCGATGAGATCTTCCAAAATCTTAATTTGTTTTTTTTAATCGGTTGGTTTCGGTAGGACGGGGCTAGGAGAGCAGTGGGTGGAGGTGATCTCTTGGGAACCTAGGGCTTTCATCTACCATAACTTTTTGGTAAGCTGAATAGGAATTTGTTGGTTTGTCAATTTTTTTTTGGATCTCTGCTTGAATTTACATTATTCAGTCTTAGCTTGTGGAATAAAAAAAAAAAAGCAACTGTGCTGTAAATCTCTGTCCGTCTTTACGGCTTTTGAGACATGATTTCCATGCGTATTAGATGTTATCAGGAAAGGTTTTTTTTCCCCTTAACTTCTATGTCTTCATCAGTGGCTTAGATATCGACTAAAGATTTTTCTGATAAAAGGTTTTATCCTGTTCCTATAGCCATTTTTAGCTGATTGTAGTATTCGTCACTTTTCCTGCTCTATGAAGCAGGTACTTGTAACAACTAAAAATAAAGCCAAGTGTTTAATAAGTACTCTTTAATGTTACAGATGAAAGAATTCTACATTCGTAAATTTTCTAGGACCCAAGAATCGTTGACATTAGCTCACCAGACATTATTAATGGACAGTATTAACCTTCCAAAAGAATTCTATCACTTGATTGGTTATGCTTGTTTTCCTTAGATAAGCATGAAATTCTTTTGTTACATTACTAAGGTCAGTCGACTTTTTCCCTGTGGAAAGTAGTTGTTTTTTGGTAATTTTGTTGTGCCAGACAAGTTTAGCAGTTGATATGAGAATTTAGCTATTAATTGAAGTTCTAATATTTTGACTGTAGGTATTGAGTTGGCAATTATGATCGAAATTAAACTAGTTCAAGTTTTGAAAACTGAATCAATTTATTTGAGTTAGTTCAAAAATATTATCGAATCTTGTGTGAGCGGGCACATGTGCTTGCTGCATCTAACATGTATGATTTCAATAATTTTTATGATATTTATTATCAATTAGATGCATCAAAATTTTCACAATGGATGACTCCAATTGCATGAGAAAATAATTGAGATTTTAAAGTATATAGACATTCAAATGTGTTGGAATCACATACATGTCTCCTTGATAGCATCTGGTATATTTGATGATTGATTACCATGAACACTGTGATTATATCTTATATAGTCTTTGTCCTAGTTCATATTATAAAGAAATTTTCATTCTCAACTTCTTACATGCAAAACGAATGAAATAAATTGGTGCCATTTCATTACCTAAAGAACACATAAAAAATGGCTTCATATGGGGAGTTGATAACCAACATGCATATGCATTCACGAAAATGCACACAATAATGCAAATTAAAACAAAAGAAAAAAAAAGAGAAAAAAAGAAAAAGAGTATTTATATATACGAGTCGATGCTATGTAATTAATTTTTATCTAGTAAGTTATTATTTTTTATGCATTTTATGATACATCGAAAATATGCTTAAAACTAGTCAAAATTGAAGTTGGCTCGATCAATTTCAACTAGATTCATAAATTTCAAAATCAAATCAAGTTAGACCTTCACGAAACTTGATTTTTCGTCTGTTATAAATGGATTACTTTTTTATATTTCACATAAGCCTTTTATGATCCATGTTATTAAGGATTACAAATCTTCTCTTGAATCTTAAAGCTATAATTTAATAATGAATGAAATAGAACTTATTTTGATTTTTGCTTTTTCCATTTAACATGACATATTTAACCTAATAATTCATTGATATTAGATCACCAAGCATTATTTTTTGAAATTTTTGTCTTATAATTCTTTCTCTAAGAGTAAAGAGCCACTCATCTACCTGAGCATTCTCATCTCTGTAACACTTAACTTTATGCTTCTCTTTTAATAGCTAACATTCAGTGCCATAAAGCATTGCAGGTCTCACCACCATCTTATAGAATTTTCTTTTAAGTTTGAGGGTTACGTTTCTATCACACAACAATCCTGATGCATTCTTCCACTTCAACCATCCAAATTTAATTCTACTAATAATATATCCATCTATTTCACCATCACTTTGAACAATAGATTCAAGATATTTAAAATGTGTACTCTTATTAATGACTTGATAGCTCAAAGTCACAATCCCCCACACTAGATTTATTAATATTAAAATTACACTCCATGTATTTGATTTTAGATCTACTCAAATGGAAACCTTTTGACTCTAAGGCTGACATCTATAATTCAAGTTTTCTTTCAACTCCCTCTCTAGTCTTATTAACAGGAAGAATATCATTAGTAAAAAACATACACCAGGGAACATTCTCTTGTAAATGTCTATTACGAATATCCATGACTAAAGCAAAAAGATATGGGCTTAAAGCTGATCCTCGATATAATCCAATTGAAATAAGAAAATTCTTGGTCAAACCTCCTTGTTTGAACACAAGTAACAACTCCTAATTACATATCCTTAATGACTTAAATATAAATATCATTAACTCCTTTCTTTTCTAGAACTCTCCAAAGCATTTCTCTTGGAATTTTATCATATATTTTCTCTAAATCAATAAATGTCATATGTAAAGAACCTATTTATTCTCTCTATACTTCCCATTCAAATCTCTCAAGAAATTTATAGCTTCCATAGTAGACCTACCTGATATGAATCTAAATTGATTTTGAGAAACCTTAGTATCTTGTTATAATTTATGCTCAATAACTCTCTCCCATAGTTTTAAAGTATGGCACATTAATTTAATTCTTCTATAATTCACACACTCTTGTGCATCACCTTTATTTTTAAAAATAGTAATCAATACACTTCTCCACTCATCTAACATCTTTTTAGTCTTCAAAAATATATTGAAAAATTTTGTAAGCCAAGAAGATCTCCTAAGCATTTCCTCACCTCTATTAGAATATCATCAGGTCCAATCGCTATTCCACACTTCATTTTTTAAGGCCTCTCTAACTTCGGTTTTACTAATACGATGATAAAAATAAAAATAGATATTTTAATTTAGGATACTAAGATCAGTAAAGTTAATCGTATTCTAATAATCTTTATTAGAAAACTTATCAAAATATCTCATTCACCTTTGTTGAACATCCTTTTCTAATAATTTTTTTTTATCTTTATCCTTAATGTATTTCACTTGCATTAAATCCTTACTTTTCCTATCTCTTTATTTGGCTGGCTTATATATACATCTTTCACCCTCCTTAGTATCTAGTCTATTATATAAATCATTAAAGTTAAATTCTTTGCATCTCATATTGCTTTAGATTCCTTACGGGCCCATATATATCTTTTCTACTTTTTCATGTTTTTACGTACAAACCAATTTTTATAACAAAGTTTCTTATTTTTTATCTTTTCTTACACATTTCGATTCCATCACCAACTATTTTTACTATTATGAAATTTTCTTTTTGATACGCATCCTTGCAATTTTTTTAATATAATTAACTACTTTTTTCTACATAACATTAACTTTTTTATGCACAATCAAAATTTTAAGATTTTGAATCGTACTCTCTAACATATTTTTGTTAGTGTTTTTTAAATTCTCTCATATAATCCTAGGATGATATTTTACTTGATTTATCATATTCTGCCTTTCTTCTTGAAGTCCAAAACTAATAAGTAATGCTGAGTATAGAAATTTTCACTTGCAATAATTTTATAATCTTTGTAATCTAAATGATATATTTTCCTTATAAGAAAATAATTAATTTAAGTTTTACTATATCCATTCTTATAAGTAGCGAATACTTATCTTTTTTTTTTAAAATAAGGTATTAGCAATCACAAAATCATAAGCAAGAGAAAAATTTAATATAATCATACAAACTTCATTAGTCGTTCCAAACTCATGGCCACTATAAATATTTTTAAAATCTTCTACCACTCTACCAACATGTCCATTTAAATCTCCTCTAAGAAAAACTCTTTCTTCAAGAGATATATTTTATATTAATTCTTCTAAGGCATTCCAAAATTTTAATTATGAGCAAATATCCAAACCTCTACATGAGGATCATAAACACTTATAATATTAATAATCTTAGTTTCGACAACAATCTTTAAAGCCATAATTCTATCTCAAGTTCTATTAATTTCTCTAACATTATCTTTCAAACTCATCTCTATAATCACACCTACATCATTTATAGTACAACTCCTACCAGAATACTATAATTTAAATCCTAACTATCAATCTCCGTAGCCTTTTCTCCAACCCATTTAATTTCCTAAATATATAAAATATTTATCTTCCTATAAATAATAATATCTATTAATTCTATTAATTTGTCTATAAGAAAACTTATATTTTAAGTTTCTTATAAGTTCTTATCCTAATCATAGTTTTATGGATTAGCTTCTTTGCCCGCATTCATCCCTGATGTGGGAACCTTTGCTTATTTAACATTGCATCTGGGCTCCAGTGTAGCGACCCTTGCACACTTTTCGTTGTATTCAGGTCATACAACGCTTTGCTTCCAGGGACGCCCTAGCATTTACACAATGTATTACATGATTTATTTCATGAGTTTGACAAGTTTTACGCTGACTGTCAACTACCTAATTTTGCCCTCTACTTTTCTTATCAAGAGTTTGAGAGCTGACAATGACAATGCTAATTGGACTAAAATAGGAAGTTGAAAATTCTAAGATATTGGAGCATTTGACATTAACAATAAAACCCTTGCTATCATTGTTGATAGTCTACCAAGTGATTTGGCAGAATCTAAATTAAGAAAAGGTTATAGCGAGTGAGTTTGATAACTCAAATCCAGCATGTAACTCCTATTTATTAAAGTATAAGTGATAAGATACTGGAGCATCTGACATGAACAAAAAAAGAATGATGGGCTATTATGTAATAATAGTGTAATATGTGTTATTAATTGAGCATGTTATTAATATTATATTGAATAAATGATAAATGTCATCTAAATTAAGATGGTTTTCAATATGAAGATCTTTATGATTATTTGTATGAATAAACTTATTTGACAGGGTATGAATATGTATGTACTATAATAGAATTACATTGATTTATAATATATATATATATATATATATATATATATTAATTTATATATATATATATATATAGCCTATATAAAGGTTCTATGGAATTGAGAAGGTAAACACTACCTCATGGGAGTTCACTGATTTTAATAGTCATCATTTTGTGAGCCAGTCGGTATTGCTAGCCAATATTAAAAAGCATTCTATCAACCTGCATACCACTGCGTATTAGCGTATAATTTATATATTTCATAAGCAGATTCTCAACAAGATATATAATTTATATGACAGTTGCTAATTTTATAATACAACATTATTGTGTTGCGTCCTAGGAGTATCGCGCGGTTAGAGAAATATATAGTTTAACGTCTTAGCATTGTACGAAGATCCAGCACACAATCAGATAAGTGAGAGGGTGTAGCGTTCATAAGAGACCAGAGTTTTTACGTGGAAAACCCCTGAAAATGGGGAAAAACCACGGGGCCTGGCCCAGTTTGAATGAATCCACTAGTATTTGTAGTCGATTACAAATGAGGCCTTCTTAGGGAGAAGGCCTTGGCTTGATGTCACAAATGTACATCATATAGAGTGTATTACATGGTGGGAGTTACAAGAGATGTATTTGTTTTGTCAGCACGACCATAGTCGATAGGATGGAGGTCGGAAAGACCGTTGCCTGGTGATGGAGGTCGGAAGGACCACAGTAGGCGATGGAGGTCGGGAGGACCGTAGTTGGTAGGAGACCGGGGCTGAGTGATCGTTGTCTAGTGATGGATGTCAGAGTGACCATTGTAGGCGGCGGAGGTTGGGAGGACCGTAGTCGGCAGGAGACAGGGTTTTGAAAGACCGTTGTAGTAGGGCGATACTCTGGTAGAACTCTAGGCGTCAGGTAGTGACCCAGTAGAAGTCCGGGCCTCAGGTGGTGTCCTGGTTGAGCACAAGGTCTCAAGTGGCTGTTCGGCGGAGCAACGACGTCAGACGGTGGTCCGAAGGAGGTGAGGGCCTTCGGCGGTGGTCCGACGAAGGTGAGGGCCTCTGGAAAAGATGAGGGCCTCTGGCGAAGGTGAGGGCCTTTGGTGAAGGTGAGGGCCTCAGATGTTGGTGAGGGACTCTGGCAAAGGTGAGGGCCTTTGGTGAAGGTGAGGGCCTCAGGTGTTGGTGAGGGCCTTTGGCGAAGGTGAGGGCCTCTGGCGAAGGTGAGGGCCTCAGGTGGTGGTCCGACGAGGCTCTGACAGTGGTCCGGCGAGGGTGAGGGCCTCATTTGGTGGTCCAGCGAAGCTCCAGCTGTGGTCTGGCGAGGCTCTGGCGGTGGTCTGGCGAGGCTCCTGCGGTGGTCTGGCGAGGTTCCGGCGGTGGTCGAGGAGGAGCTTCTTCCTACTCTTCCTTCTCTTCTCCTCTTCTCTTCTTGCTTGGGTCCCCTTTCAAGAGAAATGAGGGGTCTATTTATAGATTTTCTGGAGTGGCATGCCCCGTAAATATGTTAGAGATCAAGGGTAAATAGGGAGTGGTTGGATGGACGGCCGATATTGAACCCCTTGATCATGGACCATTTGTCAGGCATTTGGAGGCCTTAGTGATTTCGAAATTCGGTGATCTTGGGCTCGTTGGATTCGTCTCGTCGAGCCGTTCGATTCGAGTATAAGCTCGTTAAAATCGGAGACCGTTTTGGTAACTCAAATTGTGATTCGAACCTTCCAACAACACTTCGAGTCTTCGATTTAGACTCATTTGGGCTTGGATCAAGTTGAATTTGGTGTCATTGGGTTCGTATTTCCGAGGCGCTCAGTTTGACTATAAGTTCGCTGAAATCGGAGTTCGGGAGCTCCCAAATTTAATTTTTGAAGTTTCTGACTCCATTTTGCATCGAGATTCGTGCCCGATCAAGATAATTTCATGATGACGTATCAATTTGTAGGAATAAAATATATTTCAGTAGGTGATATGCATGACAAATAGATCTTTGCTACAATAAGAATTAATTCAGTATACAGGAATTTTTTGCTGTAATAAATCAAGACAAAATTAGCCATTCAACTTGCTATTTCATTATGAGCATAAAACAAATGTACAGGCATATGTATAACAAATCATTGAATAACAAAAGCATGATTGACGACCTACGAATATCTGAGAACCTAAAACAAATATTGACCACGCACCAAGGGTTGCAGTTGGTGCCTAGTTCGGTTATTACAGAAATAGCTAAGCACTAATAAGAACATGTGTAAAAAAAAATGGCCTTTATGATGTACTAAAATGAGACTCATCGTCCTATCTCTGAAATTCTTGAGATGATTTGAGGACATGAGGAAGTGAACCTCTAGAGTAGTTCTTTATTGTAGTGAGTGATGCATCTGTTTCAATAGGGATCCAAAAAGGATGTGCGAAGATGAGAGGGCTTATAGGGCTTGGGTAGGATTACAAGTACTTTGACGTAATTATGATATAGTACCATCACTGTTTTTGTCCCTTAGAATTGCTTAGCTGCAGAAATGCATTGTGACTTAATGGGGAGCAAAAACAACTCAAATCCAATGCGAGGTTCATTGCAGCTACTGTTGGAATTGACTTTAAATAAAGCATCTTAACCAAACACATTCCCATTCTGTTTTGCGGCCATCTTTTATGCAGCACAGCAACATGTCACAGGGAAGGCATAACCATATGTAGCGCTATCATTTTTGCTACATAATATTTATAAATCTTTGAAGTTTCATGTACTTGAATTTTAAAGAAACATTCTTAGGGATGGAAATTACTTTTCTTTATGAGGTCATCTTTGACCTGCAATAACCTTAAAAGTAGGCCACTAGGGCTTAAATGACATTGTGGTTCTTGAATAGATATGAAGCAGTATAAGTTAAGGAACAGTTAAAATTCTTAATTTCTCTCTTTAAAACTGTTTATCATGCCCTTTTTAGTTATACCTATTTGAGGACTTCCAATCCTGCAAGGAGGTTTTCATCTGCTTTTCTATAAGCTTTACTTTTCTGTTTTAAGTGGTGAACTATGAGTGTATCTTCTGTTATATTCCTATCTTAATATGATATATTGATGATGATGTCCAATGGGCTACTGCCTTTGTAATGATTTTGGTTATTTTATTGGTTAGTCTAAGGAGGAATGCAAGTACTTAATTGAATTGGCAAAGCCTCATATGGAGAAGTCATCTGTTGTTGACAGTGCTACTGGCCACAGCAAGGATAGCAGGTCTGTGGATTACTATTGCCTGTCGTCTTTAATTTTGTGCTTTTATATGAAGAGATTTTTATTTTAGCACTTTATGCAGGGTGCGCACAAGTTCAGGCACATTTCTTATAAGAGGAAGAGACAAGATGATTCGGTCTATTGAGAAACGACTATCAGATTTCACTTTCTTACCTGTTGGTATGTTATTTGGATAGGATTATATATTCTTATTTACAGAAAAATCTTCATTTTTTTTCCAAGGGTGGTCTTTTATAACCTGCTCTTAGCATGCACCATGACAATGTTTAAACACCTGTTTGCTACAAAGCAAGTTAATGAAGCCCTATAAAGCTTATTAATTTTAATCTCCTTTGCAGAACATTAATTTGTTGATTTAAAACTTTTGTCGACCTAGAAGCTTCTTAAACCATGGTCATCAATGCCTGTTAAGAAGGAATATTTTTTCTCTCTCCCTCCCTCTTTCCATCCCCCAACACCTAAAATTATGTCTTATCCTATGCCTTACTCATAACAGAGAATGCACAATTTATGTGCAAGCATGCAATTTCATCTAACCATTGCCTGTTAGATCTTCCATTTCTGCTCTGCCTTTTCTTAAGATGATTTTGTAACAGCCTTCGTTGATGATGTTTCACAGAGAATGGAGAGGGCCTTCAGGTTCTCCATTATGAAGTTGGTCAGAAATATGATTCTCACTATGATTACTTCCTTGATGAGTTTAATACTAAGAATGGGGGTCAGCGCATAGCTACTGTTCTAATGTATCTGTATGGAGTTCATTCAGATTTTCCACATGCTCTTTCTCTTGCATTTAATCAACACTTGCTACTTCTTTGACAGCGCCTTTTGTCTTATTTGTTGTTAAATTTTAGTTCTGATGTTGAGGAAGGTGGTGAGACGGTATTTCCATCAGCCAAAGTAAATAGCAGTTCTTTGCCATGGTATAATGAATTATCAGAGTGTGGTAAAAGCGGTTTGTCTGTTAAACCAAAGATGGGTGATGCACTGCTTTTCTGGAGCATGAAGCCTGATGCAACGTTAGATCCATTTAGTTTGCATGGTTAGTATTTCGTGAATTCTCTACAAGTATTCTGCTTCACGAAGTTATTTGGTATAAAATTAGTTTAGATGTTTCAATTGCGTTGGAGTAAACTATTTTATCCGACACTATACATCTTATTACCGCTAAGTTTTAACTTTTCAGTTCTTGCCCAAATAATCTCGTGAGATCTTTCCAAATGAAATTAGCATATGCTTATAATTCATTTTTTCCTAGGTGGATGTCCTGTGATTAGTGGAAATAAGTGGTCTTCCACAAAATGGTTCCGTGTTGATGAATTCAAGGTGTAATCTAAACAAGAAAGGTAATTCAGTTCTTTATCATTTTCTTTAATCTTCCTCATGACGGTTGGGAAATTAGGCACATTTTAGAAAATAGTGCTAATTATATATATGTTCCTTACATTTATGACAGTTGGGATGCCATATATTATCACCTTTTACTATATTTGTTACCATCAAATTGTGTTCTTCTATTATTTTTCTGGTTTCTACTTACCATAACCTTATCATCTTTCATTGACTCTGCTATGCAAATTTGACCTGGTAGAAGTGTGCTAATGCCACTTAAAAATGTCCATCGGAAAGGGGGATTGTCTATTTATCTTAATATTATGTCAGTTTAGACCTTGAATCGTTTCTCAATGATAGCTAAGTGTAATTACTGTCTAAATTATGCAGAAATATCATTTTTAGTATAAAAGGTAGTTAAAATAAAGCATAGAAATGTATTTCCAACATCATGCAAAAAAGAAATTCCTTTTTTGTTGCTCTTATTACCTAAATGTTAATTAGCCAATACTAAAAATATATGATAGGCTTGTCATCAATGGATGAGTAGAGCCACCAATCGACATTTGTATGTATTAAAGAACAATAAAAAGAGAAGTTAATTGGATAATATCTTTGAGAACATTTCATGTATGTAAGAGACAAAAGCAAGCTATTTTGATTCCACCATAAAGAATAGGATGAAGAACTTACCTCCTGTGTTATTGAACATGAATGAATGAAATATGAGGACTATTAAATGTTAAACCTCTAGCTTCTCTAAGTTTTGTAAGATTAAGGGTGATGAAAATAGCTATTTTTCTTTCTTTCCATAACCTGATGTAACAAGATCAATTCTCTTTGTACCAAGTTGATGAAAAAATAAAAGCCTGGATGCCAATTGATGTAGTGGGAAAATTGATCTAATAATCTGGAGGATAAAGAACTTCCTAAATTAGCATGTGAGGAAAAAATTGAGATCTCACATACTGAGCTCAACAACAACAATAACAGCATCAAGCCTTTCTCCCATTATGTGGGTTCGGCTACATGAATTCTTTTTCTCCATTGTGTCATGTTAAAAGTCAAATTTTCGTTTAAATCTAATAAAGAAATATCATTTTTAATATTTTCAACATCATTTCTAATATTTTCTCCATTGTGTCCTGTTACATACAGAGCTCAGATGAAGAAAAATAAAAATATAATCTTAGAGTGAGAAATTTAAACCTTTGGGAAAATTGGATGTGATGTTCGAGGATGTGTTTCAAAGGACTGTTTTTGAGTTATGTTTAGGCTATATCTGTTTTGAGTTTTGATATTGAGCTAATGTATCTGAATCATGAAACTACTATTTTAATAAATCAATAGTAAGGATGTCTACACCATTCTCTATCCAAACATTATATTGGTTGGAGTCTTGTGCATTGGGTACACAACTTTCTAATTCATCTATATTTTATCAGTAATTGAGAGATTATTTATAGATGTGATTGGGTTTTAGAATATGACCAAAAACATTGAATCTAATGACTGAAAAATGGGGAGAACGAAAAACTCATTAGAAGGAATGGGTTTAAGCTTATAAAAAATGTATCTCATTCTTGCTCTATTTTCGGTGAACTTATTTTTCTTCCTTGATTTTGTAGTTTAGGAAATTCCAACATATTTGATCGGTTGATCTATTAACTCATTTTTCTTTCATGATTGTGTAGTATAGGACATTCTAACCCATTGGAGCGATGACTTAAGCCTCTCAAAATGCGTCATTGTGCTTGCCAATTATGGCGATTGGCGAATCTACTTGGATCATCGCCTGTAGATGATGCCATTAACAGCTGCTAGAAATAGTTAGAGAGTATCTCAGGACATTATGAAAAATTGGCTTCAACCACATGGACTAGAGAAACCACCACTTAATCATTTAAAAAATGATTAAATAGGGGTCTGGGACCCACCTGTGTCATGTGGTAAGGTCATGGAGTGCAACATTACTATATGGTTCCCATATGCATGCAGGGTCCCACGTAAATGCCGCATAGCGCTATGTCACAAGGCATTTGGAATTTGCAGAGGATGCCATATCAATTATTGTGTCCTATTAGGTTTATTTGGATATTGGGCTAGTTGTTCCCATCGTCCACTACTTGTCACCAACTAGATCGCCACATCATTTATATAGGCCCCATTAGCTATAGCCAAGTCAACAAATCCCCTCCATATTTGTCTTTTGAAATAACATGAATATCTTTCATTTTTTAAAATGTCATAAAGTTCTTATAAGATGCACGACAATTAAGAGAGTTGCATAAAATTTGAAAATTTTAGGAAGTATTAAAAAAAATTTAAGTAGCTTCTTAATAGGGACCATTTATAAAATCTAAATTTATTATTTTAATTTTTATAAAGTGCATAAAATAAATCATGAAATTTCCTTAAAACAAAGATTTACAAAAAATAGAATAAAAATTTTAGATTTTTAGAAAAAATGCTACGGGACCTAAATTAGGCTTTCTGCCATTTATATAGCTTTACAACAAAAATAGAATAAAATTTTAAGATTTTTAGAAAAATGATAGGGGGGCTAAAGTAGGCTTTCTGCCCTTTATATAGCATTGTTGACTCTGTGACTCTTAGATTGATCTATTAAGTACGCATGAAATGTGTCCTAGTGCCTTTAACTCACACCCTTCTAAAAAGCAAATTGATGTCCCAAGTTCCTCATGCAATTGCAGGCAAGAGTATTTTGGCATGCATAGACTAGTTGTCTCGAGAAGCATGAGCATGAATATCCAAAAGCTATGCTCTGAGTCCCATTTCAAACACCAAAAATGCTAAAATCAATAAATTAGGTCGTTTTCCTTAGTTAAGAGATACTCTTTCTACAAAGAATTTGTACTAACAAGTTTTTAGAAACAGTCAAAGTTTACTTCATAGGTCATACTCATGCACTAAAATCACTGATGAACTAAGGCTTTAATTTTTACCCTAGGCAGACCATGGCCTCAAATCTAGATTGACTGTCTCCTAGCTATCAGTTTTTTTTTAAGCAAGTCAAACTTCAGCTGTCTTGAATATCTTTGGATAAGATATTTCATAGTTGTTAACAAAGAAGTCCCTCTAGCCAAGGCGCTATAATAATTATAGATTGATAATTTGGCTAACCCTAAATGATGCAAGATTTATTCACAAAAAATTTTCACACTAATTAGTACCCTAAAATTCAAAGGTTTGTGAACACCTTAATTAAGAGTGTTCTGCCAACTGAGAAATATAAGTAATTATATGAGCTTATGCTCATTAAAATCCTCAACACTCAAATCTAAATAAACCCTTACTGATATCATGGAAAATTTGATTATTTACAAATTCATTCTACCTCAAAAAAATTCTTGTGTTCTCAAACACTGAAGGGGCGCTAAAGAGCTTTTGTCTAGGTGATCAGTACATCATGATTGTTTGATCACCTTTATTAGTATTTTTTTAATGTCATTTCAAATATATTCATATAATCGGAATTGCATTTTAAAATTGTTGCATGCCATTTTGTTCTTATCATTCCTTAATTAGTATGTTAATAGATTAAATCCAACGTAACTGTTACAAATTTAAATATTTATTATTTTATAATTATATTCTATTTTCAAAATATACTTAGTTGATCCAGCTTTAAAGTTTAAAACTAACATTCAATGACAACATTGACCGAGACACCCGTGATGTTTATATGATTGCCATGACAATAGTTGAAGCTAATTGATTTTGTTATGGCCTAGGGGGGTAAGTTCCCACAATGCACCCACTGTAAGTCTACACCTATGTAGTTGATAGACCGGTCTAGCTGGGCCCAACACAGGGGCCGACTCATTACTTACAACAGCCGGAAACCTGCTATTCAGCCCACCTTGGGGTGTGTAACACCCCAAAGCACCCCTTAAGAGTACTTGGAGTATTACTAACATAAACATCTCATCGTTTGATCAAACAATACTTTTGAACATTTGATAATCTTTATAAAACATCAAATAGTCCTCATTTATCCCTTCAAACAGAAGCAACTAATAATTTTAATTTCAACATGAGATACTTACAAGGCCACTACCAAAGAAAATCCAGAGTAATATATCACTAGTTACATACCTCAAGTTTAGACTTCCCAAACATAGATAAATACTAACATAATATAACATGTGGAATACTTGACAATTTAATCTGCTGGGTGTTCAGAAGGAAAATTTTGAATTAGGAGGGCTATTTAGTCTTTGGGGGAGATTATTTTGTATGCTTTAAGTAGAATGTTTACATTTGGATTAGGGTTATCTAGAGAATGTGCGGATTTTAGTTGGTGCTTGGCGTTCTTTGGATCTGGCGCCGTCTAGAGATTAGGGAGAGATAGATCATCCTCTCAAATTGAGGATCAATAGTATCTTGTTGGGTTTTTTTTTTTTTTGAAAAAAAAATAGTATCTTGTGGGTTTTCTTCTCTACTTCATCAATTGCAAGAGTATTTCTCTGTTATTTTTTTTTTTAAATTTACCTTGGAGATTGTTTTTGAGGTGCTGAAATTCAATTTCAACCAAGAAAAAATTGAATTCTGTTGTGTTTCCTATCAAATTGGTGTCAAAGTGATGTTCGGGGCTGTTTGGGCTGATTCTTTCAGCAATTTTCTCCTTCGAACCATTGTTTTTGCTGTTTGTAGAAATTCAGATTTTTAAGTCTAACAAAGATTGGAGGATCGATGACGGCCAAGAAGGTGGATGCTTTGGAAGAATGTATTGAGGAGGATATGAGCCAAATCAAAGCGACGGTGGAGGATAGAATTTCCTCAATGGAAGACAAATTTACGGACCTACAGGAGATGGTGAAGAAGATATGAGATCTTCAAAACCAAACGATGACATCGGAGGCAAGAGTGTCGGTGGGAAGGAACATAAATTTTGAAAATTGTAGGGATGAAAATGATGTGGAGATCTTGGAGGGAGAAGGGAGAAAACCCCATATAGAAACTTTCCAGAGAGAGGAGAGAGATGGAAGGT